ATGCCAATCGATTACTGTAGCTCCTTCAGAGGTAAATGATGGGAGACCTGGCCATTTGCAAGTTCATGACCATCATGTCTTTCCTGGACTCATGGATCACCTAAGTGGTTTCATTCCCTCCGTTCTTGCTCCCCCTCAACTCATTTTCCACCCAAGAGACAAATGTACTTGCACATTTTTGAAAATTGCAAAATAGTCAAAATTTCAAACATTTCAAAAAATATTGTTCTCCTGCTTACAACCTTCCAAGGGCTTAAAATAAAATCCTAAACGTCTTCCCTGCTCCCAAGGCCCTTCAGGGTTGGTCTCCCTCCTGCCTCCCTGACTTCAGCACCAGCTTGGCTCTTCTGCCTTTGGGACTTTGTACCCACTGCACCCCATGATCTGCCACACTCTCCCTCCTGATCTTTGTGTGGCTGATGCCCTGTCATTCACTTCTCTGCCTCCACGTCACCTCCACAGAGAAGCCCACCCACAACCACCCAGTCTCCACCCTCTCTGCCCATTTTTCTTCACTGCTCTTATTATCACTATCTGAAATAATTTTACATGCATGTAGTTTTAGTCAAATGTCACCATACTATACGTAGTATTCTGTGACTTGAATTTTTTTTTCAAAATCCGTTGTTGACTTTTTTTTTTTAACAATGTGTCTTAGAGACCTTCCCATGTCAGAATGAATAAGCCTAGTCCATTCTTTTTAATGGCTATGTAATATTCCTTTAGGTGTACGTACCATAATTTGTCTGATGGCTGCCACATTTATTTCTGATTTTTTACTATTACAAATGATGCTGAAGTGAACCATCCTTTTGGACACACTTCTGTGCACATGCGCGGATTTTTTCTGTACTAAAGATCCCTGGAAGTGAAATTGCCAGGTCAAAGGTTATGCCCATTTGTCATTTTGATAGATGCTCACTGCCACATTGCTTTCCTAAAAGGCAATCAATTTATACTCCCACCAATGGTGTGTTAGAGTACACACTTCCCTCATTCTCACTGACACTAATTAGTATCATTTTTAAAAAAATGTTGCCTTAAAGGATATACGACAGAGGTATCGGCTTTCACATCATGAGCCTAAAGGCCATTTTAGGATCATTTCCTGCTGGTGTCCCTTGGAGTCATGCCTCCAGGTCAGCTTGGGGAGAAGAAGCGAAAGCCTCTGTGAGCTCTGAAAGCTCCCGAAGACAAATGAAGCCTCTGAAAGCGGTCTCATCCATCGCCGCAGAAAGGCCCTCTGTCCAGCCGCCAGCAGAGCGCGATCAATAACCTGGAGAGCCGTGGGCCAGCCTGACATTTCCGGCATGCAGCATTCTCCCCCATCCATCATCCAAACCATCCTGGCCGCTCAGCTCCGATTGAACAGAGCCGAAATCTGCCCAAGTGCAGCAGGCCCCCACCCCCAGTCTTGGCTTCTCTGGCATTGCTCAGAACCCTTTGTTTGGTTGCACCGAAGGACGGGAGATCAGGGTCTGGGAACAGGCAGACACTCGGTCTCCAGAAACGGCTGCTCAAGCCCAGAGGGCCACATCCGCTATCTACCGGAGGGCAGGACCAGCGGCTGCAAGCACCACGAGAAATGACTCATCGGGGACACCAAGAGCATTAGGAGCAAAGGAAGCTTTCTGATACTTGATGCCCCCACAATGGCAAGCTGTATATTTTTTTAAAAAGAGTTTTTCAATTTTTCCTGTCCCACCTTCACTTTTGTAATAAGAAAAAACCTCCATTTTCCACCTCCCTGCATAGGGAAAAACTCAGTTCTTTCCTACTAGGAGTCTCTTCCCTGGGTGTCTCCTTTACTCCTTGTGCAAAATGCTCGCACTTCGGACATTTCTGGTCACCTGTCGTGCGGAGGTTTTTCCCCAAGACAATCAATCCTCTGTGACACCAGCTGGGTGCCCTACAATTTAACTCAATTCTGACAGTATCTACCCGGAGACAGGTAAGGGCTCAGTCTCACAAGTGTGGCCCCTCGCCCCTTACTCACACACACACACACACACACACATCTGAGGAGCCAGGAGCAAGCCCAGGTTTGTCACCTGTGCTTTTGACCAACTGGCTATAGATCAGAGGTCCTAAAGATCCCTCCTTGAGTTTGATTAATTTGCTAGTGTGGCTTACAGAACTCAGGGAAACACTTACCTCTATTTGCCAGCTTTTTTTTTTTATTATTATGTTATGTTAGTCACCATACATTACATCATTAGTTTTTGATGTAGTGTTCCATGATTCATTGTTTGCGTATAACACCCAGTGCTCCATTCAGTACGTGCCCTCTTTAATACCCATCACCAGGCTAACCCATCCCCCCACCCCCCCTCCCCTCTAGAACCCTCAGTTTGTTTCTCAGAGTCCATCTATTTACCAGCTTATTAAAGGATATGGTAAAGGATACAGAAGAAGAGACAGGGTGAGGTCTGGGAGGATCCCAAGCTTAGGAGCTTCTGTCCCCATGGAGTCCAGATGTGTCACCCTCCCCTTGTTGTGTTCAAAGCTCTCTGAACGCCCTACTATTGGGATTTTATGGAGGCTTCTTCACATCAGCATGATTAAATATTAACTCCATTTCCAGCCCCCTCTTCCCTCTCTGGTGGATCGAAGGGTAGGAAGAGAGGGCTAAAAATTCCAAGCTTCTGATCATGGGTTGGTCTTTCTGGTGACCAGCTCCCATCCAGGAGCACCAAGAGTCATCTCATTTAGAACAAAAGACACTGCTATCATGCAGGAAATTCCAAGGGATGTTGGAACTGTATGTCAGGAATAGGGCTCAAAGACCAATTTTCAGAACAATAGATGCATCCAGTACTCTTATCACTTAGGAATCTGCAATGGTTTTAGGAGCTCTGTGCCAGGAACCAGGGGCAGAGACCAATATATATATTTTCCATTATCTCATAACCTTCCTCTCCAAAGGAATTGTTGAACTTCTCCAAGAAAGAAAAGTATGGATGGCCAATGTCTCCTGGGTGCTGGTGTTATGCTGCTTTTCACGTCTGTTACTTCACAACCCTGTGAAGTTGGATCATATTATCTCTAGTTTAAAGATGTGTCAGCAGCCAGAGCATTTGGGTAACTAACCCAAGGTCACCCAGCTAGTCATGCCTGGAGCAGGATTTGAACCCAGACTTAGGTTGCCAACGAGGGGGGCTGTGACTTAATTTCAGGAATTTCAAAGGCTTGATTTTTGGTAGTTCATAGGTTATCGTACACTTCTTTACTTACAGGTTTCTTCAAAGAGAAAATTCTGAAATACCAATGAAACTTTAAAACCATGTCCTTTCTGCAACTGTGAACCAGTCCAACGCATGATACATTTTCTTTGAGCTGATTTCCTCTCTCCACTTCTGCAGGAGTTGGTACTTGTTCTTTGGTTCAGTGCATGCAAAACAAGATGGAGTGACTCACGGGTTCCCTGGGCACACTGATTCACGCGATGGGTAGGGTGACCACGGTATTAGCTTCCTGCTGCTACTGCAATCAGTTACCACAAACTTGTTGGTTCGAAGCAATACACATTTATTATCTTATACTTCTGAAAGTCCTAAAACTATTATCTTATAGTTCCTGGAAGCTCTAGGGGAGATCTGCTTCCTTTCCTCTCCCGGCTTCCAGAGGACAGGTACATTCCTTGTCATGAGGTCCCTTCCTCCAACTTCAAACCCCTCAATGCTCTCTGCTTCCATTGTCACATCTCTGGGTCTGACCCTCCTGCATTCTCTCTGTGATCACATCGGACCCACCTGGAGCATCCAGGATCATCTCCTCATCTTGAGATGAGGTCTTTAATCTAAGTCACACCTGCAAAGTCCTTCTTGCCACATTCAGGTGACATATTTCCAGGTTCCAGGGATTAGGACGTGGACTTCTTTGGAGGGCTGTCGTTCAGCACACCACACTTCTCATCTCAGTTTGCAGGGGACTATGAGCACTAACAGGTTGTGGAAACGTCAGTGTTGAAAGTAGGAAAGTTCCAGGCAAGCCTGGAGAGTTGGTTGCCCCTAGCCGGGGGCGCCCTTGATCCAGGAAGATACTTCTACTGGTTCTTGGGAAAGTGGAGAGGGAAGATGAGCACACGTAAGAAAGTTGGAAGGGAAACAGTGTTTTCCCAATCGCATTCCTAGGGGGAAAGCAACTTCTAACCATTAAGCAGTCTCGTCCTGTGTGCTCCCTGCAGGAGAGCCTCAGCAGGACCACATCCTTCCAAAAGGGAGCCTTCTCTGCCTGATGTTCCCCACTTGTTTTACGAGACAAAAGCAAAGCAATTTCCTAGATAAACTCTACTTCAGAGCCTGAATTAACCCTAAATAAGAAACCTGTATGGTGAACTTGTATTCAAAAAGGTTAATGGTTCATCCAGTGTGAAATAACAGACGTGTGGTTAAAAATAGAGCTAGATTCCATGCCCGTGACAGACTCATCACTAATGTGAAGCCACGGTGGGGTGTTTTGTTTTTTTTTTTTTTAACATCATGTGTGCTCTTCTGTCTTTATACCTTTCCCCACACTTTCCCCTCTCCCCCCACCAACCCACACAGTTATATTTAGTATTACAGGCTGTGGGTTTGTAAAATAATTTCCCCATGTGTTTATGAGTCTTACTGAAGGGGAAACCAGTTCATGCTATCTTTTTACATATATATTTAGCTTTCTCTTTCTGGAGAAATACATAGAAAAAAAAAATCGTTTTCAATAACGGGTGAATTCCCAGAAGCGTGGTTTGGAAAGAGCGAGGGACAGGGATCTGGGGAGCTTTTCCAGTGGAGAGGATTCAGATGGGGAGGCCAGACGTCGAAGGTGGCACGGAGCCGCTGGGACATATGAGAGGTTCACCCCGGCACGGTCTGTCAGAGTGACGGTTGTGGAACTGACGGTCATAAATCATTTCCTAGCAGTGAAGACGAAGGGACACACATTCTGCCAAGCTAGAGGTCGCGGAGCAAATAGGATGAGCAGTAATGAGAGAGGAACTGTGCTAGCCAGACAAATGGATGAAAACCCAGGAACTAGGGGAAATCCAGGCATGCAGGGGGTTCTGGGAAGCATTTGTTGCCTTCTCTGGTGAATTAAGACAACCCGAGGTGCGTGCACCGGAGATGGGGGCAGATGGGGGGGCAGATGGGGGGGCAGATGGTGGGAGTAGACAGATGGTCGAGAGAACCAGACTCTCTGCGTCCAGGGGAGCTTCTCGGGGTTTGCTGGGCTGCTCTGCGCATGAGTCTGGCCAGGGGCTTCAGTCTGACCCCCACACGCATCCACACCCAGCCCACATCTTCTTCTGGTCAGCCGCTGGCCACAGAGACCGCGCGGAAGAACACGCCAGATCGCGGCACCCTATCATCGCCTTGGGAAATGTAGCTTTCCTGAGTCAGAGAGACAGGAGTAAGCAGGCGAAGAGCACAAGCTGTGCTCTCATAATCCCAAGAGGCTCCCTATTTCACTGCTTCTCGGGTAGTTAAGAGTCCTGGGTGTGTAGGAGAGGAGAGACCATTGCACTGGTGAATGTGCATCTTCCCCACCAGCTCTGCTGAGGGATGGTGGCAAGCGTTTGTAGATGGCTGGCTGGGGGCAGGGCTGGCCAGCTCCTGAAAAGGGCTAAACCAGTCGCTCCTCATGGAGACTAAGTCCATAACTAGCCTGCACTTATTATAGGGGGCCGCAGCCCACTCAGCTAGTGGTGATCCAGTGGGCTCCCATGGTCTCACTCATGGATCAAGCTCAGGGACCATACTCCTTTTCACACTTGCTTCAGATTCAAGTGGGAAGCTCACTTGAACACTTCTGGCTTAGGCTGGACATCTTGAAGAGAGAGGACCTGGTATGATTGACTGTTTCACCCACCCAGGGAAACATGATCACCCAGCACGCTGCTTCCCAAACACATTGGGACCGGAGGGTCTGGGAGTAGGAGGAGATCCAGGAAGGTGCTCCAGGGTGAGACACCCTCCGTGACAAGGCATGGAAATGGTACCATTGCTTCTCAAGCAAAGAAAGCCAAGCCATAGAGCTCAGTGGAACCTGGAGGTTCCATTCCTGACTCAGTCCATCTGCTAACATCCCCTGGAATGAGTTTCTTCCTTCTGTTGTTATTTATTTTTTTTAAGATTTTATTTATTTATTTGAGAGAGAGATAGAGAGAGAAAGAGCACGAGCAGTGGGGAGAAGGAGAAGCAGGCTCCCTGATGAGTCGGGAGCCTGACATGGGGCTCAGTCCCAGGACCCTGGGATCATGACCTGAGCCGAAGACAGACACTTGACTGACTGAGACACCCAGGGGTTCCCATATTCCTTCTGTTTTAAAATGTGTGTTTTACTGTGCGGCAAAGCCAACAGGTCCGGAGTCGAACGTTACTGAAAAGGTAGTGATACTCACAGATCCCAACAGAGGACATGCTGTGCTTCGGGGGGGGGGGGGGGGAGGCACATGGGGAAGCACCAGTCAGGAGGGTGAGAGAGTTGGGGAAACAGGGGCCAGAGACTTTATTGTGGTTACTGCAGGGAGGAAGCCAGGAGGAAGGGTAATCAGGCTTATGACTGGCTAGTCTGATTAATTTCTGTGGCTCTGTGACATATAAGCTGTCCCTAGGTGTCTGGTACCTGGCCCTGGGGTGATTAGGGCAGGTGGATAGTGGCACTGAGCATGAGCGCCACACCGAGCGGGTAGTTGGGGGTATGGGCTCTGGATTGGTTAGTTTGCATTTGAAAGGCCTGCTCTAGGGTGAGTTGTTTACTATCTTTAGGAACTGGCTAACCCTGGGAGGCCCCAGATGTCGGCCTCAGAAAAAAGAAAAATAAAAAGACACAGTTAATACACCTTCCTCTTCTCTGCTCCCAGGACCCAGCTCAAGTCTCATCTGTTCTAGGAAAGCTTCCCAGGCTACTCTGTCCCATTGGGATCACTCCCTACCCCTGAAGTCCTATAGCACGGAATGGTGCTGTTTTTCAGCTTTGTGTCCGTTATCTAAGCAGAGAGTGCTGTGTCCCTCTGTCAAAAATCCACGATCCTTGGAAGTGGGGACTGTGTCTTTTACTTCTCTGTGTCCCCCACAGCACCTGGCACAAAGCCTTGAACGTAATAAATGCTCACTAAATTTTTGTTAAGGAATGCCCAAGGTTCAGTGTGGTAGGCCACAGGGATGGTTCCTTTAAAAGAAAAACCATTTTCGGGGGCCTGGGTGGCTCAGTCGGTTAAGCAACTGCCTTCAGCTCAGGTCATGATACTGGAGTCTCGGAATCGAGTCCCGCATTGGGCTCCCTGCTCGGCGGGGAGTCTGTTTCTCCCTCTGACCGTCCCCCCTCTCATGCGCTCTCTCTCTGTCTCTCATTCTCTCTCTCAAATAAATAAAATCTTTAAAAAAAAATTAAAAAAATAAAAGAAAAACCATTTTCAACCCCTGGGCAGGAATAACCCTGCTTGGTTCCTTCCTTTATTATCCAATAAACATTCTAAAATTTAGGATGTTTACAAATCCAGATCACCTTTGTGAAATTCACAAACAAGGAAAATTCAGGCAGCTCTAGCTGTGAATACAACTCAGAAAGGGTCATTTCTAATTGCAGCTGAAAAGGAAAAATTGTGTTAGTATCGATGCCCTGACCACACTGTTTCCTCCATTAACTCTCTGGAAGGGGAGAGTAGATTACACACATCAGCTGGTTTCACTGAGTAGCCAGGAGGCAGACGAGACATGTCTGTCTCATGAATTACAGTTAATGGACAAATCATCTGTGTTGTGTCCGTGCGTGGCTCGGGGGTCTAGCATAGGCTGTCAGGAGCGGAGATTTACCTGGCTCAAAGTGGCCTGGAATGAGTTGTGAGACACATGGATCATCAGGGTGTTGAGGAGGGCAAGGACACGGCAATGCCACCAGTGGCCCTGGGCTCTTCCTCTGTGACTACAGGAGCAAGGAGGGTAGACCAGATGGAGGACAGGTTGGACCTGAGTATAAAATGTTAGAGGGATTTGGCTTGTTCCTGGGGCAGAGCTGAGGGACAAAAATAGACTACATCTTGGGAAGCGTGGCATGAAATTAAATTCCAGGGCCCTAGCTATTGCTCTACCAGTGGACTACCTGCCAATGTCCAGAAATGCCCTCATCATGCGAAGTGGAGGTGGTAGTGGAGTTGGGGAGGGAGGAGAGCTTCTTTTGTGGGTACCCTAATGTTGCAGGGGCTGCACCCCCTGTCTTTAGTCCCTTGCTGTTCAAAATGTAGTCTATAGACCAGCAGCATTGGTCTCATTTGGGAGCTGGTTAAGAAATGCTGACTCTCAGGAGGGGCTGGGAGTAGTGTGAGGCCCAAGGGGATAACTCCCTCTGGGGCAAAATTTAAGGGAGCACCCCTAAACTCGGTAATGGAGATAAATAGCATTTTTTAAAAAGGAAAAATTAATGCAAAAAAAATCTATGATGAGCAAAGTAAAATAATTTTAAATGAAGACAGGATCTGACCCTGCACTTGAACGATCCTACCCCTCTCACCTCACCCTAATCTTGGTCCTGATCTCAGGCCCCACCCAGACCACTGGTGGGAGACCATCTGCATTCTAACAAGATCCTCAGAGGATTCACATGCACATCAAAGTTTGAGAAACATTGCTTCGGACAAGACCTCCCAAGCCATAACAACCCCAAATCTTGGAATCCAGACAGCAACAAAAATGGAAAAGGATGAGCAGACATTCCAGAAGTTCCAGAAGCATCCAGTGCCATGAGTTTGCTTGTTATTTACTTGGATATGCACACTACCACCTTAAAATTGTACAGTGTTCTGTAGTTTGCTGTAAACTTTTAAAAAATGTTTTATTTTGAAATAATGATATATTCATAGGAAGTTGCAAAGATAGAACAGAGAGTTCCCATGTGCCTAACTTAACCCAGTTTACCCTGTTGGTTACATTTTATGTATCTACAGTACAATATGGAAGTGAGGATATTGACATTGACAGGTATAAAGTGGATGTATAGTTATATGCCATTGTATCACATGTGTAGATTCATGTAACCAACACAATTAGGCTACAGAACTAGTCTATCACCTCAAGGATCTCCCTGGAGCTATAGCTTTATAGTCACACCACCTCCCTGCCCTGCCCCCACCCCTATCTCTAACACTTGGCCACCACTAATCTGTATCATTGCTGAGAAGGTTATGTGAACGGGATCATATAGTATTCAACCTTTTGAGATTGGTTTTCACACAGCATGAGATCCATCAGTATAGCTTTCTGTGTCTCCATCATTGTGAACCTTTGGAGAATAATAAACAAAGCCATCTTCCTCCTCTTATTCCTCTAGGATGCATCATAGTGTTTTGTGCTCAACAACTGAATTGATTTGATTACATCATCACAGTCATGCCTCTTCTGGGTTTAACTACTTCAGATCAAGTATCCTCTTTTAGGGTACAGGTTTGGGGTTATTCCTTTCAGAAATTGCCTCTTGTAGGGCGCCTGGGTGGCTCATCAGTTAAGCATCTGCCTTCAACTCAGGTCATGATCTTGGGGTCCTGGGATGGAGCCCTGTGTTGGGATCCCTGCTCAGTGGGGAGTCTGCTGCTCCCTCTCCCTCTGCCCCTCGCTTCACCCCCGCTCATGCTCTCTCTCAAATAAATAAATAAAATCTTAAAAAAGAAAAAGAAACTGGCTCTTTGTGAGAGAGTGAACCTTGGAGCATTGCCAGAAGTGGCTCCTCACCTTGGCCAGAAGCAAAGGGTAACATTTTCTAAGGTGATGAGTTTCTTTGGGATAACGTATTTCCTCTGGAAATTCTGGAGTGTGGTCTGAGGAATGGAGTGGGTGACTCTCTGGCCTGAGATAGCCCAGTGAAAGGACACTCTAGAAGGGCAAGAGTAGGAAAGGTAGCTACATGACCCTTCTAGGTGAGCATGTGTTAAACATCCGTTGGTCAATAAATGAGTCACTATGAAGGTGCTCAAGAACCCAAGAAGTGTTCAGCATGGGTGACAGACTGAACCACATTTGGATCACAGCTTCGTTTTCTTAGGGCAGCAGTGTTTCAAATGGCAATGTGTCCAGTCAAGGTTGTTTGAATGCAAATTATTTTACAATGAGAGCTTGCTTCTCACATGTATGTTAACTGCACGTCTCCTTTAGCTGTGAGTTGGGGACCTCCTACCTATGGCAAAAATCTCTGGCTTTGAAGAACTCAGTGCAGAAGAGGAGTGAAGGCATAAATTTTCAGAAACAATTTTCCGGCCAGGCCCCTTGAACTGGATGCACAGGGGGCTAGCAGAGCAGTAAGTCCAGCCAAGGGGGATGTTGGACAGAGCAGGCATGCTGGACCAAGGTAGAGGTAAGGTAGAGCGGAGTTTCCAAAGAAAAGCTTGGGTATGTGGAGAGTAAGGAGAGGCCACTTTTTAGAGGATGGGGGAGGAAGGAAGCTCTGACTTATTGAGCAGAGACTTGGTGACAGCTAAGGGCCAGATGTAAATGATCTCAATGAAGACTGGGGTATGAAGGGCCAAGAGAAGAGAGGGGAGGTATGGAGTTTATCCAAATATCAAAAGGGTTGTTTTTTTTTTTAACAAGGTTTTCAGTTTGTCCTTGGCCTCAGAATAAGACTTCTTGAAAACAAGTAAAGTAATATCACTCTTTAAAAAAGCAGAGGTGACACACCTTATTAGAACGGCTAAAATCCAAAAAACCTGACAATACCCCATGCTAGCGAGGATGTGGAGTGACAAGAACACTCATCTGTTGCTTGTGGGAATGCAAAATGCAACGATCATGTTGGAAGCCAATTTGGCAGTTTCTTCCAAAATCAAATGTACTCTCAGCCTCTGAGCCAGCCATCACACTCCTAGATGTTTACACAACCGAGTTACAAACTATGTCCACGTGAAAACCTGCACAGGAATGTTATATCAATTTGATTCATAATCATGAAAACTGGAAGCAACCAAGATGTCATTCAGTTGGTGAATGGATAAACAAATGGTACAAATGGATGAAGAAATTGTGATACATCCAGACAACGGAATGTTATTCAGCAATTTTAAAAAATGAGTTATCAAGCCACAAAACTACATGGAGGCACCTTAAATGCATACTGTTAAGTGAAAGAAGCCAGTCTGAAGAGGCTACGTAGTGTATGATCCCAGCTTACCTGGTGTTTTGGAAAAGGCAAAACTGAGAAATTGTAGAAAGACTTGTGCTTACCAACGTCTGTGGCCAGGGAGAGGGATGAATAGGGGGAGCACAATGGATTTTGAGTGTAGGGAAACTATTCTCAACACAACTGCAATGGTGCATACATATCATACATACACTTGTCATTCATCAAAACCCATAGATTGTACAACACAGTGTCTCTTTATGGGAACTGTGGTCTATAGTTAATCAATAATAATGTGTCAGTATGGACTCATCAAGTGAAAAAATGAACCACACTAATGCATGATATTAATCATAGGGAAAACGGTGTCCAGGGGAGATAGGAAGGTGGGGCTGAGTATATAGAACTCTGTAGTATCTGCTCCATTGTTATTTAAACCCAAAACTGTGCTCAAAAATAAAGCCTATTAATTATTTTTTTAAGAAATGAAGAGATTTCACATTGAAAGAAAAAGAAAAGGCAAATGTGATGAGAGTTATTTTTAAATGTTAAGAGAGCCAGCAAGGAAGTCCTGGGAATTTGCTTGTAAACTACACATCCAGCCTTGCTACCCAAGACCCTCTTCACGAACAGAATCCCTCACCTATGACAGAAATCCACACATCTCCTCAGTGGTACAAGCTCAGGCTCTGTTGGGTTTGCACACTGAACCCCCTTGGAAGGGAGAACCAAAATTTTCATCCCCTTCCTAGTTTTCTGAATTGTCTCATGGAAGTGACATTGGGCTTGTCTGGTAAATTTGTAAAAGCAGCCTCACGAATTCCTTCCAAAGGAAGAAAAGCTTTTCTGTGACTGAACTTTTCTCAATCAACGATAATGATGGCTTTCCTGTTAATTCTCCCTAATTATGTAAAAGGCCTTTTAAATTTGTTTCGGTGGTTCTTCTCTTCTGAGATGGGGCAATCAGCCCACCGTTCATATTATAAGAAGGTGGTGGCTGCTGCTTCTTCTTCCTCTGGTTCTTCTTCCTTTTAAGTCACTCCTCCATTTTGGAGTTTCTGCAAGTGATCATAGACGTAAATTCCAATCTGTCCCTCAAATGGCTTTCAGTGATGCTTCTTCTAAATCCCTCTAAGCTACAGACTTGTCCAGCAGAGGACCTTTTAAACTGGATTAATCCCCTTGAGTTCTAAATCCTTTTTCTTTGGGGCCAGAATCTCATCCCATAACCTTCTGAATGGCCAACATAACTTTGAAAGTTGGCACTTTGCATGTAAATGGCGGGAAAGCTGTAAGGCAATAAGCCTTGCAGCAGGGAACGTATTGATTTCAACGATCACCTTTAATCCACACCTTTCCCCTTTATAATGTGTGGTTTTCTTCTCTTAATTAGAAAGAGCCAGGGATTATCTGCACAAAACCGGAAGGTTTATTGTGATTGGTGGGATTGTCTCTCCCGTCCACGACTCCTACGGAAAACAGGTGGGTTGGTCCTTTGCCTCTCTGCTCCTGTACCCTCCCTTTCTGACCCGATGGCTCCTCCTCGGGCACAGCTGCCCCACAGCCATCTGCTACGCTCCCTGGAAACACAAACGCCCGATAGCGGGCGTCCTGCTCCCGGCTCTGGAGCACAGTCCGACGTGAGCGGGTGGGTGCTGGGCAGCAACCGGGAGGAGCCCGTGCCCGGGGCCCGGCCGCTCGCAGCGCCAAGCGGTCGGGGCTCATCAGCAGCGGCGCACGCGCACCCGCTGAGGGCCGAGCGGGACTTGGCGCGGATGCCACACTGGCGGCCGGTTACGGATCTTTCCCGGATTTTAGGAGGAAAAGGCCCATGCCTCTTACGACCTGATTTAAAATTCCTGTTCTTGCCGCTCCCTCCCTGCCACACGAAAGGGAAAGTCTAGGAGCCCTCCCCGCGTGTCCATCCCCCTCCTTCCCCAGCTACCCGTGGTTGGGCTCCGGGGAGGTTGCCGATCCAGCAGCTCGAGCCTCGAGACAAAGCACCGTTTGCTGGGTTAAAAGTCTCGTCTCTGCGCTGGGCACGCGTTGGCTGCTTCCTCCGAGAGGCCCACCTCCGGACCCTGTCGCGAGTGGCACATCCCCGCCCTCCGTCCCTTTCTTTCCCTTCCGCCGCTCCATGCGTGTCTGCGTGGCAGGTGCACACAGAGGGAGGCCACGCCCTCATTCCCAGCGCCCTTGAATATGGAGCCGGCTTGGGATGGGGTCTCCAGGAGGCTGTGGGGAGCGCAGCGAGCCTCCCACTGATGCTCTGTTGCTCCCCAGGGCCTTGTGTCGAGCCGGCACCGCCTCATCATGTGTCAACTGGCCGTCCAGAACTCCGATTGGATCAGGTAGGGCTGGCCAGGCCATTGCCACCGGTACGGGTGGCCTGCGACTCACTGGGGGTGAGTGGAGGAAGAGGAGGAGTGCCCTCAGCCATCCGGATCCCACAGGGGTGGGGAGGCCGGAACAGATGTTAGTCCCTTGCAGGCAATAATTATGCAAACCTTGGGAGGTGGCCCAACTGATAGCTTTAGTTTATAACCAGGCCATAGGGCCCGGCAGACTGAAGAGGGAAGCATCAGTGTTTCTTCTGCTCTGGGACTTTTGGATCCAGGAGTTTTCCTGGAGCATCATTGGATTTGGGGTGAGGCCTGGCCAGGAAATCTGAAATGCCTCTCCACTTTCCTCCCCAGTTACTTCCTGTGAACTCGCACTTCCTTTTAAGGAATGTTCCCTGGCCTTCCTTATTTCCCATTCCTGAACTCAGGCTCCCTGGGGCTCCATGCTGCCCGGGGAGCTCTCACTGCCTTTCCCTCAGACTCTGGGCACCGTCCTCACTAAGATGGCAGCCACCCTTACGCACAGAGCTCGCAGTGTAATTAAAGCATCTTCCACTAATTATGCTAATTATGCTCCCCCAAGTTCCTACAGTTATAATTTGCATGAGAAAATGGCGTTTTAAAAAAAATAATGGCACACCATTTGTACTGTAATTTCCCCCCACGGAAAAATAAGCAGCACCAGAGGGTGCTGGGAAGTGAAGGGAAGCTGACCTCACAATGAGGGAGAAGAGATGGGGTGGGCGGGAAGGAGAGCAGTGAAGGGAGGCGACAGTGATAATTAAATAGTGATCCCAGCCGGTCGTGAGTAGTGATTTGTGTGAGTAACACTTGCCCTTTATCGACTTTCTCATCCCCCTAAGATACAGGTAGACAGCTGCTTTTTCACTGGTGAGAAATAGGCCCAGAGAAGTCAAGGGGTTTGAGTGTGAACAGCACATCCATGGTCACGTCAGGGATAGAAAGAAGGCCTTGTAACATTGTGGCTCAGGACCTCCTGGGGAAAATGGGGTCCACTGGGGGAAAACGTGGGGCAGGAGGTTGTTCCTGCTTGGATGTGACTGGAAGATTCTGAAAGAATTGCTTCATTCATTCATTGAATATTTACCCAGCGCCCCCTGCCCACTCTGCACTGCTCCAGGCACTTGGGCAAGGTCAGAATTCCAGGAATTGAGGTCACTAGGGAGGCCCAGGTAGCTCTAGAGTTAAGAGGCTTGGCCCCTGGCCCCGGGGGAGCCTGCCTAGCCCAATCTATCTGTTTCAGACAGGTGGGTGGTGGTCAGAGATACAGGGAGCCTGACGCACAAGCTGACTCTCAAGGGTTTTCAGTCATTGAGCTCTTACCTCTGGGAAGCTTAGGTGTGTGTTCAAGGTGGAAGGTGGGCAGGGAATGCTCAACGGCTAAGAAAATGTTTGAGAAATCTCCCAATTTAGCAGCTCATTAAGTTGCAATTAAGCCCGAGCACTGCATCGGTCTGGGCTAGCTCCCTGCTCATTTCACATCCTCGTGTACAGGAGGGGCTGACCAGGGTGCAGGGCTGTGCCCTTTAGTCTGACTGGCACGCCCCCCCCCCCATGCCACAAGGCCCCCCACTGCACAGATATTCAGATATCTGCAGCCACCACTCAATGAGGGCCTGGCTTTTAATCCTTATCCCAATCCTGGAAGGCCCAGAGTAGAATTTCCATCTTGTGGGGAAGCACAAGAGTGAGACTCTGTACTAAGCACTTTGTTTATAAAACTCATCGAGCCCTTCTAATAACCCCGAAAGAGAGTTACGGAGTCATTTTACAGGTGGGGAAAGTGAGCATCAAAAGACAACATCACTTTCCCAGAGCCCCATACTCCTCTCATTTTTACAGAGGGGAAACTGAGGTGTAGGGAGGTGTTTCAAGCCCACGTTTGATCTGATTTGGGACCTAAGGACACGGCGTGAGCCGTTGTGCTAAGCTCCCTGAGCTCCGGTCTCTGGAAGGAGCCACTAAGGAAAGAGTGTGAGAATGGAAACCAAGGGAAGCCTCTTTCTGGTTATGTTAGGGTGGACCCCTGGGAGTGCTATCAGGACACCTGGCAGACCACGTGCAGCGTGCTGGAGCACCATCGGGACCTCATGAAGGTGAGCTGGGCCGCGGCAGAGGGGTGGGTGGCCCCGAAAGCCAGGCAGGCCCGGTAAGGGTGCTGCTGGCCTACTGACCTGGTTCAGTTTCCTGCTTCTCAGCCAGCTGTGGGAGACCAGGCCCCGAGCAGCAGGAAGAAGGGCAGCCGATTAGTAACCCAAGTCGTACCGGAGGCTGCCCCCCGGCCTTGCTCCGCCTGTTCAGTATGACTCGGGTGGTTTTCATATTCTGGCAGCAAATCCAGGGTGGGATTAAGGAGAGACTTCAGAAAGTGAGGAGGGAAGGAGACCTGGCCAAGGAAGGCAGGAGCACAGAGGAGCGCTGGGAGGAGGTGCCATCAGCCGGGTGCTCCTGCCCCATCTGTTTTAGGGCCGAGGCACCTCACCCCTGCCTGTCACCGTCCCTTTGCTCACTCTCATTCCTCCTCACATGAGTTCCAAGGCAGTGCACCGGTCCTTGTTATATGAGTGGATAAAAAGAGGCCCAGAGAGGTGAGCCCATCTATCTGAGGACACACAGCCGTTGCTTAGTGAACACAGATGGGAGCACGTGGCCTGTGCCCAGGTTGTCGCGACCGAAGAGCAGGTTGCCACACCAGCCAGCAGCACTGGCCAGAGTGTGCGGAAAGTGTGCTTCCCCGATCAACACCAACACATGGATCTCCACAGTGACGGCATGAAGAGCGGTGCCATCCAGAGCAAGAAGCCTGACTGCCCAAGACAAGAGGCAGTGGGTCCTGCCCACCCCCACTGACCCTGTCCCGGTGCCCTCGTCAGCCGCCATCGGCAGTCTGGATGGCATTGATCTGACACACGCAGAGCCTCCGTGCATCTGTTTTCCGTCAGTGGGTGTCAGAATCCGCTCCTTGGGGACCTGTCAGCATCACGCTCACCAACCGGGCAGCTGTGCTTGATTTGAATAGAGTAGGGGTTTCGGGCTCCCGCCCAGCCAGGAAGTCAAGAGGAAGAGGAAGAGGGAGGGCTCTAGCTGGCTGTTGCTTCATCTGCTAGGTTGGTCCCCCTCGGAATTGAAGACAGTGCACATCCCTTCCTTCCGTTTTCGGAATCCTTCACACACGTCCTGAGTCTTTCCTGGTCCCCTTGAAAGGGCTCTGCCACAAGATGGCACTCGCTCGCTCTCTGTGGTGGTCTCAACAACAGCAGTAATAAAAGGCATCCCATCCCGTCTTACTGTATCAGTCAGGATAGGCTAAGGTACACTGTGGTAACAAGCATCCTTACAATCTTGGTGACTTCACGTCAGTTTATTTCTCACGCTACATGTCAGCTAGGGGTCAGCCGGGGGCCTGTGCACCTTCTGATCACACAGCAGCCTCAGGCTCCATGATGGGAAGGAGGAATCAGGGGCCCTGCACACATGCCTGAGCTCTGCCTATACCAGCCATGTGGCCTAGCCACTGTTTTGCTTCTAAATGCCTGGGCTTCCCAAACCCTCCCTCTGTTACTCATGCCCAGAGGCAGGAGTCTGGGCCAGAGCAGCTCAGCCAGGAGCCCCAGCCATTGCGGTGACAGGCACAGGCCAATAGAGAATGTCCTCTACCTAGAACAAGTCCCATGGGACCCATGACGTGGGCAGCGGGAGGAAGCAATTCCTCAGCTACAGGGACCAGTTACTTAGTGAGAATGTGGCGTTTTCTTTTCTGGAGGTGAAATAATAATAAGAAAGGCAGGCTGCCCCTTCCACTCCACCAGCCACCGCTGGTCACGAGGATCGTGGCAGCCCTGCGGCTTGGGATTCTCTGGCAGCTGGACTCAGGAATCCAGAAAGAGTGGTGCACAGGGGTGGGACACTGGCTTTCAGGGAAGGGACCTTGCAGAAGCAACGGCCCTTGGACAGCTGAACGGATTGAAAAATCCATCCTTTGTTTCTCTGTTGCCCCGGAGTGGGCTCTTCCACCCACAGCAGGGAAGGGGGGTGGCTTCTGGGTCAGCTGGGAAGAACGCAGCCTTATCAGCTCTGTGCTTTCTGCGGCCTCAGAGGAAAACTGCAGGCCAGATAACGCAGCACAATGGATCATACACATAGAATTTCCGCTTGGCTCTGGAATGTGTATCCACACCAGCCAGCGGGCGCGAGAGTGCCCAGCACCCCACCCCCTCTTCCTGCCACACTAACACATCCTGCTCGGCCGGCACCGCTCTTGGCGTTGGCCCTGTCGTTGGCATCTCTGGCCTGGGGAGGCGGCAGGTGGTGATAGTGCCTCGTGTTCATATGACCTTTGCCAAGCGTACACAGCCCTTCTGCGGACATGACCCCCCGTGAGCCCCGTGAAGCAGGCAGGGAGGGCAGGTATGCACGTTACACAGAAGGTTACAATATCGGCGGCCAGAGGCTACGTACTCTATAGGCAAATGCTTTGCAAACACTCACATGTGTAATCCGACCACAGCCCAGAAAGGCAGCTATGTGGCCTGTCCGTGTTACACTCCTGAGCTGAGGTTCAAGAAAAGGTAACTCTCCAAGGTCATGCAGCCAGAGGGGGGCAGAGCTCAAACTTGAACCAGGGTCTGTGCAACACTACATCCCATGCTTTTCCAGCCCTGAGCTAGCGGTCATGCCTCCTGCTGGCCACATGCAGCCACGTGGTACAGCTGGGTCTAGAACCCGCCCCTGCCGCCACCTCAGCTGCAAGTGGCTTAACCGTGATAGATGAACAGATGAGCATTTGAAAATAACTAGGAATGCTTTTCATAAGTCACTTGGCTAATGACACTGACCTTGCACCTCTCCCTTCTCCCTTTCCCCAGCGGGTGACTGGCTGCATCCTCTCCAATGTCAACACGCCCTCCATGACGCCTGTGGTCGGACAGCCCCAAAATGAGACCCCCCAGCCCATTTACCAGAACAGTAATGTGTCCAGCAAGCCCACTGCAGGTAGGGGGACACTGGTGTGGACCCGTGGTTCTCAAACCTCAGAATCAACTGGAGGGCTTGTTAAAATCCAGATTGCGAGGCCCTTCCCCAGAATGTGATTTAGTAGGTCTGGGAGAGGGGAGGAAAATTTGCATTTTCAACAAGGTGACACTGATGCTCTGGTCCTTAAAATAGAGCATCAGAGAGAAGCAGTCACAATGAGAGAGAGACAGGGTTGATGGTGTGCATTTTTTCTTATATTTATAAGTTTATAGTTCTAAATTATATTTATAAATTACATTTATAATTGCCTTCCTGGGAATTAAAGATATGAAAGGCAGCATTTTTCTCTGCCTCTTCCAAGGGAGTTGAGGATCTTGTCCAAGGTCACACACTGAAGGAGGGGTCAGGACTCGGAGTCAAACCCAGGCATCTGCATTCAGAATCCCACACGTTCAACCACCTCTTCAGTGGCAGAGAGCAAGGGCTCCAACATTTACCCAACACCGAGTCCTGTGTGCCCATACAATGCCCAGTGTTTTACATGATTTCGTATTTTACATAGTAATTCTGTGATAAAGATATGTTCCCATTTACAAGGAGAAAACTGAAATTCAGAGAGGGTAAGTGATTTGCCTAAGGTCACACAGCTCAAAAGTAGAAGAGTCAGAATTCATGTTCCGGACTATTTGAATCCAAGGTCCATGTTTTTTCCAACATTTTTTTTACCAACCCATTGCAAGAGACAGATCCTGGTATTACTTTTCAAGCCTAGAGACCATAAGCTATAAGGTTATTAGTCTGTTCTAAACAGGGTGAGTCACAAAGTCTCATATAGCTACAAGTGGGGGCTCAGAAAAATTTTCTGGATTAGAGCCCAGGGAGGTCATCAAAAACCAGCTCCCTCTCAGCCAAAGCAGATGTCTGATTATTATAAAGTCCATCTTCATGGGAAGGAAGGAAGGCTAAGGCTCATATTAAAAAATGAAAAAAGCGAGTATGTCTTTTAAATGCAAAATCTGAGCCAACTTATGGTGTGCAAACATACCTGCATAATGCATATTTTTTTAAGTGGAGGAAAATAAATAATATGCCAATGTGTTAGTGGTGGTTGTCTGCCAGGATGGGATTATGGGTGCTTTTTATTTTCCTCTTTATATATTTTCCTCTTCTACATTTTCCATTTTTTGACAGTATAATAAACACGAGCAGAACATATATTCCAGTCTATGGCTCACAATGCTTGTGCCTTGGACTGTGAACGGGAAGGAATGTCTGCTGTCATATTTCTGTTCTTTCTCTCCACCCTCCTGCCTCCCACTACCCCCACCCCTGCCCCACTCCAGGGCAACCCTATTGTTTAAGTGGCCCAAATGCTGGGCTGTAAGTTGTGAGTGGTTCTCTCCCTCTGTCCCTCTCTGTCTTGCTCTCTCCCCTAGCCAAGATCTTGGGGAAGGTGGGAGAAAGCCTAAGCCGGATCTGCTGTGTCCGCCCACCAGTGGAGCGCTTCACCTTTGTGGGTAAGGGAGCATTCATTCATTCAGCAAACACCTCCCAGCACCTGCTGTGGGATGACTGTTGATAGAGCATTGATGGAGAGAAAACAGAAGCAAGCAGGAATGTCCCCAGGCTCGCAGGGCCCAGCGGTGTGACCCACCTGGCCTGGGGCTGCTGAGACCTCAGGATGGTGATGTGCTCATTCCCCACCCCCACCCCCACCGCCCCACCCTCCCACACAGAATGAGGCCACATGCCTAAGAGTTTTCAGGAGCCCAGAATCCTCCCTCGGGTCCTCCCAGCTCTGGCGGCGTCTGCCTCACTGCTGATAGGCTACCAACACCCATGCTCTTTCCTTAATTCCCTGTTTCTGGCTCTTCCCTCAAGGACTCTGCATGGATGAGAATATCCAAGTCACAGGGGGGCTCTTTCAGGATCCCCCAGTTCACCTCTTCAGAAGAGCTGAAGGTCTAGACCTCATTCCTTTGACGCCTTGAGGCTGACTTCTGCCATTTCTGAGATTTCTGAAAATTCCGCCAATTTTCCAAAAGGCACTAAGAGGGGTGGCAGAGGGGGAGAGGGGATGGGGGACCGAGATGGCGGCTCTGTGGTTTCTGTGCACACCGTGGGCCCCCGTGCCGGCATTTCACGGCTCAGAGCACAGGCCAAGGCCTCTGTCTCCTTCTCTTTCACGGGCTCCTGCTGTATCCGCCATCTCAACACGCTCAGCTTGTTCTTTGAACCAGGCAACGCCTAAGGAGAGAGGGCCACCTCCTTGTGACTCTAAGAGCTGTTTCCTTAGGTTTAGAGGACACTGCTTTTGTGGACTACCTCCCTAAAGTACAGAAAGAAACAGAAGGTGCTCAGCATGAGTGTGTGTGTGTGTGTGTGTGTGTGTGTGTGTGTGTGTGTTCGTCATCGGCTTCCCAGCGAAGCTGTCTAATTCTTAAAGGCCCAGAAATGTGAATTCCTGCTGTGGAGCATGAGGAGACGCTCCCTCTCCATTTTAGGCTGGACTGCTCTCCATTCACTGTACTCAGCTGCTCTCTGTGCAGGGAGGCAATGACCCCCTACCCGCATGCGCTCCACCCCGTCGCACGCACTCCGGAGGAGGGCCCTGGGCCCACCGCGTGTCGGGTAGCGGTCAGTCAGGCCCCTCATGCTTCTCCGCTCCCTCTTTCCTCCCTAGATGAGAACGCCAATCTGGGCACGGTGATGAGGTACGAGGAGATCGGTAAGTGGCCGGAAAAGCGGGGACACGTGGGGCTTTCTGCCTCTACTGGGGGCAGAGGGGGGCAGGGGAGAGGCTTGGAGCCCCTGGGTTGTGTTTGCAACAGGGTCTACTCTCAGAACGGTGGCTTCCAAACTAGAGCGGATTCTCAGTCATCTCCCGCCTGGCCAGTTCCTGGGAGGTAGGACTGGCTGGCTTGGCAATGTTACCTTCGGAGCCTCCCTTCCCTCCCCTCTGGAGTCCCGCAGAACCCTGGGGAGCAAACCAGAAAACTGAGCTCTTCCCGAGGTTCCAGAGCGGGTGAGAGACACAAGTGTGCGAAGCTGGGGAAAGAACAGACAGCTGTCAGAATGGAGCTGGAGTTGGTACCATACCAGGTGATAAGGAGGGTCAGTGACAACTGGAATGCTTGGAGCTCTAGCATGAGGGGCAGCCTGGTGTCCAGCAGACACGCCCAATCCGCAATCCCAGCTGCAGAAATACTCCAGGCCATCCGTTTCCTGCTGTGCCTCCGTGGAGGGCTGGCGGGCAGGTGTGTGTGCTGGGATCCTGGGAGCAGAGGACTGTACCCGGAGCCTCAGGCTCTCTCCCAGGAGGCCAGGCGGATGTGACATCACTTCAAGGAGTGTCTCTGGGTCCTGTCCTGTGATCTGAGGAGCCATGGTATACCTGAGTCGGCGCCTACTGTTTTGTTAGAACCCTTTCAGAAAGTTAAAACTTTCAGGAAGTATGCAAAGTGGTTGTCAAATGCAGCCAATACGAAAAATTACATTATATTAAACAACAGTTAAGTACATTGTATTAACAACAAAGATCCCGAGTCCTCCAAACTCCTCACTTCTGAATGTCCCTGTATTTTATTTTATTTTATTTTATTTAGAGATTTTATTTTATTTATTTGAGAGAGAGAGAGCACATGAGAGTGGGGAGGGTCAGAGGGAGAAGCAGACTCCCTGCAGAGCAGGGAGCCCGAGGTGGGACTCGATCCCGGGACTCCGGGATCATGACCTGAGCGGAAGGCAGACGCTTAACCAACTGAACCACCCAGGCACCCTGTTCCTGTATTTTTTTTTTTAAAGATTTTATTTATTTATTTGAGAGAGAGAGAATGAGAGATAGAGAGCACGAGAGGGAAGAGGGTCAGAGGGAGAAGCAGACTCCCCGCTGAGCAGGGAGCCCGATGTGGGACTCGATCCCGGGACTCCAGGATCATGACCTGAGCCGAAGGCAGTCGCTTAACCAACTGAGCCACCCAGGCGCCCCCTGTTCCTGTATTTTAATGTCCTTTATTTACCCGCCCTGCACCATCTTAAGGCCACAAAAGGCCACAAAAAGCAGCTACGTGGCTTCCTGGTTGCTCCCCCTAAACAAGGCAGAAGCATTCGGCTCCAGGTTCCCCAGCTCCCAAAAACCCCAAGGGCCAGGAAGAGCAAGCCCTGAACTCCCATGTCCTGCAGTTCCACACCTGGCCCCGGAACTGCGCTCCCTGGGAGGTCTTCTTGAGCAGCCCAGCTCAGACCAGTCTTTAGACTTGAACTGTATTCAGTGTCAATTTCTCCATTTCTTGCGTTCCTTGTTCCAGAAAGCATTTATCGTGGCAAGCTTCAGCCGTGACCTTGTTTTCGTTCTGGGCTCACAGGGCCAGTGTGTGAGGCCATACCTGCAGGAGCGCCCCCGCCCACAGAGAGGCAGGCTGATGAGGGGGGTTTGCAGTTTGCTGCCAGGCCAGCACCCTCAAGTTCCTCATCTCTCCGCTGCCTGGTGAGGGGCAGGGCTAGCCTGACCCCATCTTATTCTTCTTTCCAAGAAAGGAAAGCTGGGCGTCCACAGCTGTCAGGATCGATTCGTGGCCTGGTGTGGTCCAGCTGGCCATGGCCTCAGGGGGCAGTGGGAGCTGGAAAGGGCCCTGGGGCCGGAGCTTCACAGAGCCAGGATTCCTGGGAGGGGAGTGTGGTGGGACAGCACTGGTTCTGCCTCCTGGCTCTGGATCCCTGGATGGGGGTGAACCAGGGAAGTGGGTGAACCGGGAAAGGAGGTGGACCGCAGAGCGGGTGGAAGGAAGCTGCCTTGCTTCCAGACTGTGTGCTGGGAGGTCCTCTGGCTCACGAGTCCCCTTCTTGAAATCCCCTTGCACCTCGCGAGAAGGAAAAAGCCATGTTCTCCTAGCTCAGCTAGCACCTATGGCTCCGTTTCCATGTTCTTAAGCCACTGTCTGCTCCTGGGGGGTGCCCCAGACCGAAGGCTTTCCAGGCGGGAAATACTAGCATTAGTCTCCGGCAACAAACCACGAGAGATCGCTGCTGCCCTCCAGCGGCCATGTATGGGATCCCAAGCTCCGCTAGGGCCTCTGGTCTGTGACAAATGCGTCTGTTCTGGTCCCACAAGAAAAGGTGGAGACCTCACTCTTTACCTTTCTGTGCTTTGGCTTTAAAAAAAAAAAAAACAGCATTGTACTCGAGTGGGAAAGGGAGTTCCTGGCTTGGGAATAGAAAAGAGATTTATTTTCATGGCTGTAGAGCAGGCTTTCTCAACCATGGACCATTGACATTTGGAAATAAGCAATTCTGTGTCGTGGGGGCTGCCATGTATGTGCCTTGCAGGATGTTCACCAGTATTCCTGCCCTCCACGTCCCTCTCCCTGGTCTTGACAACCAGAAATGTCTCCAGGCATTGTCAAATTCAGGAGGCAAAACGGCCCCCCACTGAGAGCCACTGACATAGAGAAAGCCAGGGGCCCGGCACATCCTCTGGACAATGCCACCTGACTGAAATTTTAGGCGATCAGAGTTACCATACAGAGTTACAGGTGATCTCTTTCCACAGAAAGAGAACTCTGGAGCCCTGGGTGGTTCCAAGTGAGGGGTTGGGGGACAGTAGGATCCCAGGAATGAGCCCAGTGTGGCTCCTCTCAGCCACACGAAGACTTGGTTCATCTCCACAGATGGGGAGTTGGGCCAGAAGTCCCATGGCATAACATGGAAGGAGGGAGACACCACTCCCCCCAGGACCCCCCGGGCTGCAAAAGCAAAGGCCATGAGGGCCAGCAGAGCCATCCCAGACTGCCCAGAAGGCTCTTAGACTGCTTGCCTGCACGGCCTCTGTGGGCAGCTTGTCTGTGGTTCACTTATTCATTACATCCTGAGCACCTACCATGGGCAGGTCATTCTGCCAGGCCCAGGGGATAGAAAGATAAATTAAGGTCCCTGCCCCTAAGTAGATCTTTGGGCTACAGTATGGCATGGAGGAGAGGGGAGGCTGCAGGAGTATTTAGGAACAAAGACCACAGCGCTCCACGGGGTCCCTGAGGACGGGGTGCCCGGGGGCGGGGGGGGGCGGGGGGGGGAGACAATGAGATACTGACACTGTCGTCAGCCCAGCGGCCTTCCTTTTCTGTACCATCTGGAGATTCCCGCAGCAGGGACAAGGTCACCGTCTGTAAGTCCTTGTCAGGTCCCCAAGCGAGCTGTCGCATCTCAGGCAGGCAGACCTTACCGCCATCTCTCAGCCTCGGGGCAGGGTGGCAGTGGTCTCTGGAAGGCTCGGAGCTGGGCTGTCTCTCTCACTGTTTCAGACAAGATGCCCACAGCCTCTCGCCGGAGGGGCCAGGATGCCTGGGAACCAAACGCTCCACACTGAGTCACACCCCGGCAGGGTCTCTCCCCACGTGGTCCTGAGATCCCAGAATCCTTTTTCCCCCCATTGCTCCGTTTTAGTAAGTCAGTCACTTTGCTGCCTGTCTGGAGGGGCTTCGCTGGGATGATGCAGAGTGGGCTGGAAGGGAAGGAAAACAACGGACAAGCAGGAAGGGCACCTGGGATGGGGGTGGGGTTGCTTCTCAAGCTCTTTGCTGAGGACGGTGGCCCCGGAAAGAGAGGACATCCGATTAACTCAGTTACTGCATGGGGACACTCGGTGTACCCCCAGACCCCCCAGCATGTCCGCATTTGTGACGAAAGACAAAGCCTGGATAATGGACAGCAGCAGGAGGGGCCAAACTCTGTTGGCACTTGAGTTTGATACGGAGCAGAAGAGAGAGCCCCTCAGACCTTAGACAAGTCACATAACCGGCTCCGTCTCTCGGAGGATGCGCAGCCATCCTGGTTTAGCATGGCAGGACCGGTGTCCCCAGAAACCCCTCGGTACCAGGCAAACCAAGACCCTCCCTGAATGAGTAATTCCTCACACAGGGGACAAGAGTGGTCTGTAAATGAGCCGGGCAGGCAAAGGTGTCTACACCGCACACACCATGGTGCAGGGGAGCCTGGAGGACGTGGGTGTTGGAGCCCCGGGAATTGGCGACTTCTGTATTTATCAGCGGCGAGGCTGAGAGTTGAATGTTTTCCAGGTCCCCACTCATCCTTGTGCCAACTTTGTTCCCTCCCCCCAGAGCTGCGGATCTTGCTGCTGTGTGGCAGTGACCTGCTGGAATCCTTCTGCATCCCCGGGCTCTGGAATGAGGCGGATGTGAGTAGCAAGGTCCCTATGGCACCACGCACAGCTGCCATGGGGAGGATGGGGAGGGGGTGCTTGGTTTCGGCCTCTGCTCTTCCCTCCGCCCGCCGCCTCCCTCCCTAACCCGAGGGTCTCATCTCCCATGAGCTTCCAGGAGGACAATCCATTCTTGTCACTATGGAAGAAAATGCTCACCTATCCCAAGCTTTAGTTCTGACTGCATTTTTACACTCACTCCTACTCGGGCTTGCTCCTGTAAAGCCCCTGGGGAAAAAAGCAACCGGAGTCATAGAATACCTTCTCCAAGTAGTACTTGGAGTGTATGTGTGTGGCAGAGGCAGTAGGTGGGGGAGGGAGGGATTTAAAAAAAAGCCTTGGCCCTTTTGAGATTATGTGTGTTTTGTTTTCCTTTGATTCCTTTTGAAGAGGTAGTAAATACCACCCTAGAATTCCCTCAACAAGAAAAAAGGGGTCAGGAGGGGAGGCGTTCATGGCAAAAGGTCAGTAGAATCCTTCTAGCAATTGACTGGGGATAGAGGGAAACAGGAAGTTAAACTTATACCACTCAGAAGCTCAATGGACATCTTTTGTTGCCAGATCTGATAGTGATGGTCTTAAACCAGCTCTTTCATAAGTTACTCACTCTTGGACTGTACATTCATTCTTGCTCTTTCATTAATTCATTCATTGGATAGCCTGAGCTATTGCTAGTTCCCAATTCCATAGACGCCCCCTTTTTAAAAAGATTTTATTTATTTATTTGAGAGAAAGAGTGAGCAAGAGAGAGAGCACCAAAGGGGGTGGGGGGGAGAGGCAGAGAGAGAAGCAGACTCCCCTGCTAAGCAGGGTCCCCAATGCAGGGCTCAATCTCAGGACCCTGGGATCACGACATGAGCCGAAGGCAGGCACTTAACCAACTGAGCCACCCCCCGCCCCAATTCCATAGCCCTATGCCAGTTGGGTTCTCAAGGCAGCAATTCCAGACCTAGTGCTTTTTTTAATTAACTTGCTGTGAGACCCCATGCAAATCATTCAACTCTCTGGGCATCAGTTTGTTTCCAGTTTTATTGAGATATAATTGATATGTAACATGGTATTAGTTTAAGGTGTACAACACAATGATTTGAGATATGTATATATTGCAAAATATTATCACAAATTTAGTTAACATCACTTCACATAGTACAACTTGGTTGCGCTTTTAAAAATCTATGGCATGTTATCTATCACATTCTGACATTTACAAAAATAGGTAATACAGTCTGTTCCCCCAAGTATCAGGTGGCAAGACATATACATATGAAATTTTTTCATGTACATATATGTACGTTTCTGGAGAGAGAGAGAAACCTTCAGGATCAGATTCCAGATTCCAGCTTTATTCCAACACAGCTCATGACAAAATCTATTTTGAGCCTCAGTTTATCCCATCTCTAAAATGGGTGTAATAATAGTGCCTATCGCATAGGATTTGGGGAAAATTAAATGAGATTGTGTACGTGAAGTGCCCAGCCTAGTGCCCGACACACAGTTACATACAACAAACGTTCATAAGCGAATTTACTTCAACAGACTCATGGACAGATACACTGATATTCCAGGTGAAGCGTGTGAGTGCTAACGTGCTGTGGGAGGACCAAGAGGGGAGGGAGAGTTTCCTGGAGGTGAATTATACTGAGTAGGGCTTTCATCTCCACCCCTGGACCATTTCTTGCAGGTGAAATTCTAAAATCTCCTTTCGGTTCTGGATGAAATGGCTTAATTAACTTTTACTTTCTTCGCTAACTTCACATGGTACTGTGAAAGTAGACAGTAATGTGGCCAAAACTGTGTACAAGATCTAGGTGCTGAAATGGCAGCACAGGTTAAGACAAAAAATAAGAGCAACCAATAGCTGTTGATTTACTGGGAATGTGACAGTGAAGGGGGAGCAAGACCCTCATTTATTCAGCTGTGTTCCCCCTTGGTTGGTTACTCTGAAGATCCAGAGCATCCTGCCTGGCTACCTGAGGTAGAGGGGAAAAAAAAAAATCAAGGAGCTGTTTCCTTACATAACGAGTGTGAATCTCAACCCACAAAAGAGGTGTGCTAGAAATATCACCTTTGATTTATTTAAATCAAATTAAAATTCAAGTCCAAATCTATTCCACAGGGCTGATGGGAAGTTAGTCTCAATTATTACACTACTGACTAGCAGAACCTGAAAGGCTTCTATGGGCCCTGAACGTGAACATTAGTTCATCAGGACACCTTCCCTGTCTGGACATTCGTGGTCACTTGGAGGCGGTGGGTTTCGGCAGGGCTCCTGGCCCAGTCCGGAAGCCCAGCGCTGGGCCCCACCCACCAATGATCATCAGGACTCATTTTCTTCTGAGGTTTTGCCCCTAGGGTGCTGCCTGGGAGGGAGGAGAGGGTGGTTTTCACAGATCTCTAGCTTCTATCTCTAGGAGGGGGAGTCGGGCGTGGGGGGGGATGGCATGGGGGAGGCAGAGAATGCAGAACCTCTTCATTCTCTCCTAAAGGTATCTTCCCTATTTTCTCTCATCCTAGATATCTAGTGAAATCTCTTCAGTGAGCTTAAAGCCGCTGACTGCAAAGCGTTATTTTCTGCCCTGCAAATTAGAGAGCAGGGTCTGGTAAAGGGTCTGGTTCTCTGCTAGAAATAGGGTTGGGCAGAGGGGGATGTAGGGAGCGCACAACTAGTTAGTAACTCCGAGGATTATTCCACTGTCCTTGTTTGGGGATGGTTGGGTCTCAGGGTCTAGAAAAGGAAGGTCTTACTTTAAAGACTGGGTACAATGTGAATCCTGCTTATTCTACTAGAAAATTCTACCATCTGGAGTTTGCCTGGAAGGGCTCCATTTTAGGGTTTTCAGTTCCTAACTATGAGATTACCAGGGGTAATGTATATGAGACCTATTTCTATCCCGCGTTTCTTCATTAGCTGGTGTCCCAAGTGATTCTTGTTGGCCACAGACCTCTGTTTAGTGACCATGAGCGCAAACCCCTGAATCTGCCCATGACTGGAGACAGAAGGTGGGCAGAAGAGCCAAGCCCCTTGGGAAGGTCACAGGCCCTGGCTCCACACCCCAGCCTCCCATGTTCTTCAGAATCCTCAGGATTCTGATGGCAGGGGAGAAGCCACAGGTCTGGGGAGAAATGGGAGTCTCTCCACCCTTCTGTAAAGAAAACTCAAAGCGCGCTATGGAGCAGCTTTGCCCCCAGCTGGGCTGGGAAGCAGCTGAGTTGGTCTGTCCCACAGCGGGCTTCCTCCAGCATGGTCACAAATTCTCCAGAGTCCATCTAGCTCTTGCAGTTGGGACTCCTGAAGCAGTGCTCTCCATCCAGAAGTCTAATCCCACAGCCAAAGGAACAAACCCACCTCCTAACTCATCCCTTGGGCATTTCCTATTAGGCACAAAGATCCATTAGCCCACAGTGAATTCTGACCTCCTCTGACCAATGACACACCCTTCCCCTCACATTCCAGGGGGAGAAAATTCCATACATATTCATCAAGTTTTCTCCGTGGGATACAAAGGAGCTGCTTGTGCGGCCTGGCAGTTGGCTTTTTCATTCTTGATTCCTGAGAGAATTCAAGATCCAGGCTCCTGGGCTAGCCTTGGAGATCAGCACCCCGGAGTGAGGGGTGGGGTGGAGGCCAGCCCTTCCCATCCCTGGGTTTTTATTAGAGAGTCGGTCTCCCCTAGGGCACCTGATCTTTGCTGTGTGCCGCATCCTGGCACCAGCACCAAAGCAGGTATCCAAGCATGGAGCAGGATCTATGGGAAGTCAAGGCCAGAGGATAAAGGGTCAGCCATGAGCACATATCTGTGAAGCAGGAAGCTGTTACACTCACTCCCCTCCCCCAAATGAAATCAGTTGTCTTGGGCTCTTAGGCTGTCAGCTGCTTTGTCCATCATATTATAATGGAAGGCAGTCTGGCAAATTAATTCTGATTCAAGCATTCTTTCCTTCAATCAATCTTTCAACTAATACTGAGTTTTAGACCCCAGTATGAATATAAGCACGTTATCTGTCCTTAAGGCACTTGCAGTCTAAAAATACATTAGTTTTTTATATTGCATGAAATAAAATTGTAAAAAGTCTAGAAGAGTTCCTGAAACTAGTAAGCGCTCAATAAATGTTGGCTGTTATTCATCTATTGGTTTTAAAAGATTCGTTGAGTACCTACCAAGTGCCAGACATTGCTCTAGGGCTGAATGAGCAGAGAAAACAAAACAGACAAAGCTTCTCACTGTGTGCACTTTACTTTCTGGGGGGGGGGGCGCGGAGAGACAATAAACACTTTGATGTTTCTCCTGGATTAGCTCAGTTAACCCCCAGCACACTCCTGGGAAGTGAAATTGCATGAGTCTTCAGATCCCTAATCCATAAATGACAGTGAGAAGGATGAGAAATATATATATATATTTCATAGCAGGCTGCAAGAGGGGAGCACTTGAGCTGGGCTTTGAGTAATGGGCAGGATTGGGTTAAGTGGGTGGAAAGAGATGGGCTTTTGGGGTTAAGAGAAGGCTGTAAAGGATCTAATGGTGGGAACAAGAGCTTCTGAGGAAATGGTTCTGGCTAGTTGAAATACATGGCTTATCTTGGTCTTTATTTGAGAAGCTTTTGACTTTTCAGCAAACAGGCAAAATCATTAAGTTTAATGATTAAATGTATTAGCTGCTTTCAAATGGCATTTGCATTTTAAATGAGCAAGGGGCAATAATTAACCAAAAGGAATGAAAATCTAAAGGTGGAACATTAGGCACCAGAGATGAGCAGGTGTTTTCTTTTTCTTTCTTTTTGTACTTCTTGAAACCTAGCATTCCACGGGCTGGCTCTAATTGGCTGTACCCTACATTTTTCCAGCCAACCAGCCATGGGCTAACTGCTTCCTACATCCACCAGGGATGAGAAAACAACCAAAGAAAATAAACAGAGGAAGAGCCTGGGGCACTAGCCACTCCAGAAGAAATCCCAGGGCTCCGGGACTCATAGAGCAA